ATGAACATAAGAGCATAAAACACCCATGCACAACAAGATTTCCAGATTCAATACCATTGAAAGATTAAAATCAAAAGGGCTATTTTAGATTTTTACCAAACTTGGCCTCCCTATGGTTCGTAGAGAATTTAATCTAGTTTTCAGAACATGTTTCGGAAATGTGATAGCTTTTCTAGATTTTTAGTTATTTAAGAAACACTCCAGCGCTGTCCAGATTCGCCGACCGTTACGAGATTTGTGAGAAAGGGATCCACTAAGGGAAATTTTTCATTTCTTTTGTGATGAAAACATGTTAAATAATATATATTAAACTCAGAAAATCAGCTTGAGGTGTGCCTTTGGAAAGTTTGAGAGATTGGTATGAAAAAGATAGTTTTGTACCGAAATGAGGGGAACTACAAGAGAGGTAGAATCATGGCTCAACTCTTATCATTTTTAACACAAGGAAATCATTAATAACACATCTGAAAACAATGGGTAGATCCCTTAAGAACATGTATTTGGAAAAGGAAAATAAAAGAGAGAGTTGTGTTGCGGCTTACTTGCTAGGCTTGAACAAGATTGCTCTCCTCTTCCTTCCTCTCCCTCTCAAGACTTTTCTCTTGCTCTCCTTTCTCTCCTCTAGGTTGAATGTATGTGAGTGTGTGTTGTTTGTGTATGCCATGCTAGGGGGGTGGTTGTATTTATAGGCAATTTTGGTGTAAAAAGACATAAAGGCCCACTAGTTGGAATTGGATTGAAAAGTTTGGATTTACGTGGAGTCTAATGGAATAGGGAGTGATTAGGGAACTTAATCATGTGATTAGACAATGTTTAGTTGGCCTCTAGTTGGAATGGAACTATTGTTGGAAACACAACCCTTGTACTTGGTACTTTGTTTCTAGAATGTCATAATTACAAGTCTTAAAAATTGGTCCCTCACATTCTCCTAGATTGGCCGGCTATGGGGAAGAGAAATGGGGAATATTTTATTCAATTATAGGTGCTATGGACACATTTCCAATGTGTATATATATATCCTCAAATTGATTTGGTGGTACAATAGTATAAAAAGTACATGTACTAGTTTTGGGGCAAATTTTGAAATTAATAAAAAAAGTGAGGGCTTGGAATTAAACTTATGTATTGGAACCTTATTTATGAATTTAATTATGATCTAGTTAGGTATAGGGCTAATTTAAATACCTTCTAGTTAGAAGTACACTCATATATATAGCAAATGTTTATAGGTACCAAGGTCATTATTGCTCCAAGATTTCAAGGAATTTGTTTGTACTAAAGTACAATAATTATAGCCTAGGAGGTATGATGGCTAGCCATGTGCTCAAGATTTGGGGAGATTTTCCTATTTATTTTGTGTACAAATTCTATAAATATTGTGTACACAAAGATTTGATGAATAAGAGGTACAAATATATATATATATATATACAATGGTACTAACTTGGGGTCAATTTGTGATTTAAGTATAATATGAGGGCTAAGGCCTTAATTTAGGAATTGGAGCATTTATTTTAGAGTAAGATTTAACTAAGTTAGGGTTAGAGAATCTAATTCGATTTGAATCTCTTGTTTCGAACAAAAACGCGATCAACTAACGGACGTGATAAAAACCGGAAAAACCTAGGGTTTCCAAGTGGTAATTTCATATTTAGGGAGTCAATTAGAGTTTTAGAAATTATTTCTAAGTTTCCGAAATTGATTAGGGTTTCCATTTTTTTTTTGTTGGCGCATGTATTTTGATCCTAGGGTTGCAATTAAGAAACTGAGGACTTCAAGGAAATAATTTAAAAGTAAGGGACTTTTAAGAAATTAAAATTTTTAGGGACCTCACAAGCCATGTGCTCAAGATTTGGGGAGATTTTCCTATTCATTTTGTGTACAAATTCCATATATATTATGTACAAAAAGATTTGATGAATAAGAGGTACAAATATATATATATATATACACAATGGTACTAACTTGGGGTCAATTTGTGATTTAAGTAAACTATGAGGGCTAAGGCCTTAATTTAGGAATTGGAGCATTTATTTTAGAGTAAGATTTAACTAAGTTAGGGTTAGAGAATCTAATTCGGTTTGAATCTCTTGTTTCGAACAAAAACGCAATGAACCAACGAACGTGATAAAGACCGGAAAAACCTAGGGTTTCCAAGTGGTAATTTCATATTTAGGGAGTCAATTAGAGTATTAGAAATTACTTTTAAGTTTCCAAAATCGATTAGGGTTTGTGTTTTTTTTTGGTGGTTCATGTATTTTGATCCTAGGGTTGCAATTAAGAAACTGAGGGACTTCAAGGAAATAATTTAAAAGTAAGGGACTTTTAAGAAATTAAAATTTTCAAAGACCTCACAGTTTAGGAATATAAACACTTCTCTCTTACCCACATCAGTCACCACCACACCTCACTTTATCGCCAGCGCTCACCATCGGAAAGCATTCAACGTCGCACATCGCCACCGCTGCAACACCAGGTTATCTCTCGGTCTCCCTTTCGGTCTCGCGCTCTCTCTCACTCTCATTCTCACTCTCGTTCTCTCGTTTGTTGTATCCCCAAATTGACGCTTGTTGTATCCCCAAATTGACGACGCGATGACGAACAATTCATCGCTGATCTGCTTTGGTTCTCCATCAATCTCTCCACCATAGGGTTTTGACTTGATCTTCCTTCACATTTTAGGGTAAGTTTTTCTCTGTTGCATAGATGTATCCATAGACTTGTGTCTTTGTGTTTGTAAAGATGGTCAAATTTATGTAATTTTTTCAGGTAAATTGTTTGATTTTGTTGGACTCTTTGTGGTTCAATTAATGATTGATTTCAGTCTGTTAAAGTGATTAGATAGATTGTAAGCCATGGGTTCCCATTTTGTTTTCATGTTATGCTTCGTTGTTTGGGGTTTAATTTTGTTCAAGGTATGGTAAGTTAGATTGCAATTTGTTTGATTTGTGATTTTTTTTTTTTTTTTTGGTTGTGAATTTTAGGTTTTCAACTTCAAGAAGGGGTTCATTAAAAAAAAAAAAACACTTCGAGAAGGGAAATCAGTCTTGCCTTCAAATGGGCAAACCACAAAACCCCCACCAAACCCATCTCTATTGCAAAGTGGCCAAGTTTTCCAGGTAATATGCAATGGAGTTTGTTATGTCACATGGTAGATGGCTTCATTCCTGATTTATTGTGTATTAATGTATGGATTTCATGAAGTTTAATTTGATGGATAAGAGTCAACATTTCCTTAATATACATATATATATATATATTTTTTTTTGGACTTGGGGCTTTGTTTTTTGGAAAAACAGAGGGACTAACTATGGACTTTGGAGGATAGCTTTCCTTGGTTATTTTATTTCAATAATAAGAAAATGAGATAAGATATGCATTTATGTATAACATTTTCCTTTTTTTTAGAAAATTTTTTCCACCCAGTCACACGTAGTGTAAATGTGCTGATCTTCTTTTTAATTGGTGTCAAATCTTTTATTGACAAAGCAGTTGGCGTTAAACCAAGAGATTCAAAAGTATCCAATCAATTTCTTGCTTACATATTTTGCTATATTTGATGTCATTCTTAATATACCCCATCTGTAGTTAGCTAGAAATAAGGATTTTAGGATGATAATTCTTTTATTAAATCATAAACAAATATGATTATGATTTTCTTCTTAAACTGGTGAATCATTTGGGTTCTGTACTGGTGTTCGTTCTTGATTTTCTGATACTTGTACCATTCCTTGCATATATATTATTTCTAATAATGAGTAGTGAAGCTCAGAATGGTAGAAGTGGTGCATGGAAAATGTTGACTCCTACCTCTACCTCTATCACTTCTTTATCTGATTAAAGTTAGGTTTGATTCAAGTGTAAAATTTTTTTAGTGCTAATGGTGCTAATGGGATGAAAATTGTTTAGATTTGAAAATTCTAGAAATCCCCTAGATGTTGATTTGTGATTATGTATCAATTTTAAGCAGTAAATAACAATCCCAATCAAACAACCAAGACAAATCGACACAATGATTTTACGTGGAAAAACCACAATTGGACACCTCCAATTGTGATAAAAAAACCACAACAACAGCCACAAACAATCCACTAAGAAGAATAAAGGAATTACACAGGTATACTCTCAATTACCTAGCGAATCCACGCCCGAATTGAACCAACCCCTATATGCCTCTTCCAACTCTGTCTTCACCTCAAAATTGTCTTGACATGAGCCACTCCAGAATCCACCAAGCTTTCAGGCTCAAATTCTTCAGAATCCACCGAAGAGCAACTCTCTCTTTTATGTAGAACAAACAAATAATTCTTTGATGTATACTCTTTAAACCATGAGTTGAATACTCAATCAAAACATCAAAGAAAAATAGCAAAATATCCCCAGATATAAACCCTAGAACCCATGAAGAAGATCTGGAGAAGTAATCCTAGATTTGGAGCAACTTACGAATTTATAGAATCTGAAATCGCAAGGCCCGCTCGAGCGTGGGAATGGACGCTCGAGCGGGGACACTATATGAAGTGTTCCAAACCAAGATGTACGCTCGAGCGGGGATTTCGACGCTCGAGCGTGAAAACACGGATCACAGTATTTTTGCAGACACGCATACTTTTGGAAATCATCATTCTCCGCTCAAGCGGGGGAATGGACGCTCGAGTGGGGAGGCAACTTTAAATGTATTTTTTGCATTTTGCTTTGGGGGCGCTGCCTCTCGACCCCACCGTCATAATCAGCGAAGTGGCAATTAACATCACAAACTTCTCTACAAGGCATAATTCGGGTTGGATTCGCGTCTAAACACTCATAGCCTCACTGAAATAAAAAGTGCGAAAATAAGTACAACTGAAAGGAGTTTTGTTCAAACGGGATTGCCAAGAAAAAACCTAACAAGATTCAATTCAAGTTGGACTGGAGGCACGTTGTCTTTATAGGTGGTACAAGCACTTCAACTCCTATTCCAGTAAGTGGTTCTCAAAGGTCACTCCATTAGTATTGAAACTATTAGACTTCTGCTTTAGCTTTATATGAATCTAGCTTTATGACATCAATTCACTTGTTTGACCAAGTCAATTTATTTCATTGAACTAATTGTTTATTAGTATTCTCAATATTTTGGACTTTTTTGATTGATTCATAGATATTTTTTTGGATGTTTAAAATCATATTCTAGACATTAATGAATTTTATGGTTGTTTATTAGTACTCTCATCATAAAGAAGAGACCTCCAACGGCATGAACTCCCTTAACTTCTTTATCTAGTAATCTCTTTGTTCTCCTCCTTTCTCTCTCGGATCTCCTCTCCCTTTGTTTTTTCTTGTTTTATGATTTGAATCTACTTCTACAGTTTGGATCAACGTATTCACCAATTTTTCTCTTACCAGATGTTGTCTGTCGTGATTTTGAATCGGTTAATTCTCTCACTTTTTCATCAATTCTGTTATTTGAATTGTTCTATTCAGTTGTGTGTTGAATTTTGATCGGAATTGCTAGAATTGATCACCTAAGTTTGTTTTGGTGGTTTTGGGGTCCTTAGAGACATGTTTGGCATAACAGAAACAAATCAATAGAGAAAGTTTTCCAAAAAGGTTTTGTTTTTGGGACTGCCGCTTCTTCTTATCAGGTTGGTTTGTTTTTGGGACTGTTGCTTCTTCTTATCAGGTTGGTTTTTCTTCATGAACTCGTATTTTATTTTATTTTTCATTGAACATATTCATGTGTTAATTTACCCATGAGTTGTTTCATTTACTCATTTGTACTATTGGTTTTTCTCTTACAAGTATTTTTCTATCTCCTTGGGATTTTTATTTTCTAGAAGATTAATGGAAGAAGTTATTTGCAATAGCATCAGCTTTAGAATCATCGGAGCATAAGTTTAAATGCTCACTGGATTCCTGAGGCCGTGGGAGGCACAAGGAGTTTAAAGAAGCTTCCAAAGTGAGTGCTCAAGTAATTTTTCTACCTGAAAGACTTAGATTCTCCACTTTCTTATTCAGATAATTGGCTATAAAACTCTCTTCTTTCTTATTCAAATAATTGGCTATAAACTCTATGCTCTTTCTTTTGTATGAAACATTGTTCTTTTAATGAATGCGACTCTAGGGTGATTATGGTGTTTCAATTCTAGTTTTGTCTTGTATAAATTTTGAAATCACTGCTATAATTATAGCACACACACAGTATAATGGTTGAGGATGTTACATCTTTCAAACTTAATAACATATGTGCATAAATGTTCTTTTGTTACCATAGAACTTGTCGAACTATTTAGTTGACTACACATATCTATATCTACAAATTGTCAGAAAATTTGCTTTATGCATCTTTCAAATTTGAGGTGCTATTGTAAAGAACCTAGGATATATATAAGATTAAGTGTTGTATAAGATTAAGGAGTAGTGTTTGAAAATAAACTACTTAAGCATCTTTTTTCCAATTTTTCAGAACTCAAGTAATTAGCATTCTTTTGCTCATCTTGCTGTCCATTTGTTACTCTTGGTGGTGGTTTACGTTTTTTATTCGAAGTTTATGTTCATCTTTATGTTACTAGATTCCTTCTTAATCTTAACATAAGCTTCTTGTTAGTAGCATCATAATTGACTGTGTGAATGAATATTCAGTAATGCTCTTCCTCGTTATGCTTTAAGCCTTTTGGTACATGTTTGGAACATTTATGTTACGAATGGAGACACACATCAAATGGAGTTTTATACTTGTCAATAAGTTTGAAAATTAGGTGGCCAAATACCAAATTTTATGCACGCAGATTTGCAGATTCATTAGTAGAATGGTTCTCACTTAAAGAAAATGGGTGTTGTCATGGAATTTCACTTGTTCAAGATGCTCATGTTCCCATAAAGTTGAGTTTAATTGGTTGTGATTTTCCTTTTTTTGGATATCTGGGTTTTTTTTGGTGATTTAGTTAATTGGGTGTGAATTAGAATTAGATTATAATTTACATTCAAATTAGAATTTTGATTTGGTTGTTATTTTGGTTCATCTGTGTGTTTGGTTGTTATTTTGCACATGATTAGTAGAAGTCACCCTGCATCCTCAATGAAAATCCTAGGTTTTGTAGTCTTCTGATTTGCCATATGGGTCTTTCTTGTTCTTATTTATCATTATTGACTTCATAATATCATTTGTAATATCTGTCGAGAAATTGAAAGTTCCAATGGATTTAGATTATGGGTAGAATTTTTATGATGGTTTTAAGATCCTCTATTATTGCATTTCTCCTAGGTTAGCCTTGGATTTGTTAAAGTCATTCCATAGGCAGCTTCCTTTTTCCTATTGCAGGTTTTAACTCATTTGTTGCGAATGGATAGATGAGCATCACAATATGTGCTGATTTAATATTGGTTTTGATATATATATATATATATATGTGTGTGTGTGTATATTTGTTTTTTCTCAGCAATACAATGTGCTGATTTAATATTGATTTAAAGCATCTCATAAAGCATAAAGGTAGGTACATAATGCTGAACTCATAAAGCATCTCCCACAGCTACATAAAGGTGGGGACACCTTCCCAAATGCTAATCCAATGTTGCATTTGCAACTTCTTTTCTTTTGTGATTTACTTGAATATTTATTTATTTTTGGTATGTGATTTAAATGTAGTTCTTGATTTCAATTTTTTGGGCTTGTAGCATTTAATATGTCCTATTTCATGATAGAAGAGGTCTCACATGATTATTAACTTGGAAAGCTGTAAGCCCGTAGGGCATTTTGTTTTGATGTTAACTTGTAATACTTATGTAATGAAACTCAATGAAATAAAGGAATGTGGTTAGTTTACATGTAAATGCTTGTATTATCTGATGGGTTTAATGTTATTATTTTGAGGGCGTTACAAGAGGTCTCACATGATTATGTTATTGTATGCCTATAATTTTTTCCTCAATATTTTGTAGTCTATGCTTGTTTTCTTGAATCCAATCAAGTTTGGAATAACCTTTACCTTCAGCAATTTGCTCTCACTTGGGAGGTTTGTCCTTAGATTTGTATATTAGTATGCTTCTTGTCATTATTCCATGTAAAGAGATTTAGTTTTTAGTTATTTAGATTTCTATTGAATTTTTGGGATTCTTTATTGAAGTTTGGATTCATTCATTCATCCTTATATGTTCATATTATTCAGCAAGTATCCTATGCTTTCTCACAGCCTTGACTTGTTTTCCTATTTGTCTTGATCTTTTCCTTGGCAAGTTGTAGTGCCTTTAGTTTGTACTCATGGTAAACATGCCCTCATTTTAGTTTGTAGTTTGCCTTTAGTTTGTGCCTTGAATGTTTATATCAAATTAATTATATGAATTTGTGACTCTACTCTTGGTTGTCAAACATTATTTGGAAACTACTAAAAAAATTTGTGGACAAATTACTTTGGCCGTCAAGGTTTGAGTCTATTTGCATTTCTAGTGCTTAGAGTTGATGAAATGGCACTTTCTAGCTTATAAAACTCTGTTTGGACTTTGGTTCAACGCTTTTATCAATGGTGCAGCATTGCATGTACAGGAAAAATATGCATGTGATCCTCACGTCATGTATGCTTACTTAATTGATCATTTTAACTGTTATAGATGTAGTGATCAAACCAGTCTCAAGTTAGATTCAAGATATAGAATTAAGTAAATTTATGGAAGTGTGATAGTCTTAGATCAATGATGAGGATGGTGAAGACATGGGTAGTTAGCGTGCCTTAAACTAAAAAAAAAAAAAAACACATAGGACTTGTGGCAAAACACCTTAATTAGTATACCTTAAACTTACCCGAAAAGGGGCAATAAGGGGGCGAAAATAGGAAACAGCCCTTGAACCACTGCAAGGATGTCACAGCCACCTTTTCCATGAAAAATAGGACCTGTCACAATAGACGGAATGTCATTAGCACACGTAGTTTGGGAATTAGAGCTTAAAACGCATTAAGCTTAACCGAAAAAGGACGATAAGGGGGCAAAAATGCGAAACAGCCCCCAAACCACCATACGAATGTCACGGCCACCTTCACTATGACAAATAGGTCCTGTCACAACAAATGGAATGTCATTAGCACACATAGTTTGGCAGTTAGAGCCGAAAATGCATTAAACTTAACTGAAAAAATGCGTTAAAGGGGAGAAAATGCGAAACAGACCCCGAACCACCGTACGGATGTCACGGCCACCTTCCCTATCACAAATAGAACCTGTGACAATAGATAAAATGTAATTAGCACACGTAGTTTGGGAGTTAGAGCCGAAAACACATTAAACTTAACCGAAAAAGGGCAATAAGGGGGTAAAAATGCGAAACAACCCTTGAACCACAGTACGGATGTCACGACCACCTTTCTTGTGACAAATAAGACCTATCATAATAGATAGAATGTCATTAGCACATGTAGATTGGGAGTTAGAGCCGAAAACACCTTAAGCTTAATCAAAAAAGGGCGTTATAGGGGTGAAAATGCGAAACAGCAATCGAACCATCGTACAGATGTCACAGCCACCTTCCCTGTCACAAATAGGCCTTGTGACACTAGACGGAATGTAATTAGCACACGTAATTTGGGAGTTAGAGTCGAAAATACATTAAACTTAACCAAAAAAGGGCGTTAAGGGGGCAAAAATACAAATCAGCCCCCGATCCACCATACAGATGTCACGACCACCTTCCCTATGATAAATAGAACCTATGACAATAGATGGTGAAAAATCTAGAAATCCGCTAGATATTGATCTGTGATTATATATCAATTTTAAGCAATAAAATAATCCCAATCAAACAATCAAGACAAATCGACACAATGATTTTAATGTGGAAAAACCACAATTAGAGCACCTCCAATTGTGATAAAAAAATCACGGGCAACAGCCACAAAACAATCCACTAAAAAGATATAAAGGAATTACACAGGTATACTCTCAATTACCTAGCGAATCCACACCCGAATTGAACCAACCCCTATGTGCCTCTTCCAGCCCCGTCTTCACCTTGGAATTGTCTTAACGGTGAGCCACTCCAGAATCCACCAAAGCTTCAGGCTCGAATTCTTCAGAATCCACCGAAGAATAACTCTCTCTTTTGTATAGAATGAACAAACAATCCTTTGATGTATTCTGCTTAAACCATGAGTTGAATACTCAATGAAACATTAAAGAAAACTAGCAAAATAGCCCCAGATATAAACCCTAGAACCCAAGAAGAAGATCTGGAGGCGTAACCCTAGATTCGGAGCAACATGCGAATTTATAGAATCTGAAATGGTGAGGTCTGCTCGAGCATGGAAATTGACGCTCGAGCAGGGACACTATATGACGTGTTCCAAACTAGGATGTACGCTCAAGCGGGGATTTTGACGCTCGAGCGTGAAAACACGGATCACAGTATTTTTGCAGACACACATACTTCTGGAACTCACCAATCTCCGCTCAAGTGGAGGAATGTCCGCTCGAGTGGACAAGCAACTTTGAATGCACTTTTGCATTTTGCTACGGGAGCGCTGCCCCTCGACCCCACTTGGGCGCTGCCCCGGACCCGCTAAGGGGCACTGCCCCCTCGACCCCCCCGAGCTGACCGGGCAGCTCGGTCCCCGTCATAGTCAGCGAAGTGGCAATCTTGAAAGAATTAAACACCACAAACTTCTCTGCAAAGCACGATTCAGATTGGATTCGCGTCTAATAAACTCATAGCCTCACTAAAATAAAAGTGCGAAACAAGTACAACTGAAAGGAGTTTTGTCAAACGGGATTGCCAAGAATAAAAACCTAACAGATGGAATGTAATTAGCATTTGTTGGGTGGGCGTTAGAGCCGAAAATGCCTTAAACTTAACCGAAAAGGGCGTTAAGAGGGCGAAAATGCGAAACAACCCCCGAACCATCGTACGGATGTCACAGCCACCTTCTCTATCACAAATAGGACCTGTGACAATAGATGGAATGTAATTAGCACATGTAGCTTGGGAGTTAGAGCTGAAAATGCATTAAACTTAACCGAAAAAGGACGTTAAGAGGGCGAAAATACGAATCAGTCCCCGAACCACCGTACGGATGTCACGGCCACTTTCCCTGATGATGAATAGGACCTATGACAATAGACAGAATGTAATTAGCACATATAGGTTAGGAGTTAGAGCCGAAAATGCTTTAAACTTAATCAAGAAAAGGGCGTTAAGGGGGCGAAAATGCGAAACAGCCCCAAACCATCGTACGGATGTCATAGCCACCTTCCCTATCACAAATAGGACCTTCGAAAATAGATAGAATGTAATTAGCTTGGGAGTTAAAGCCGAAAATGCATTAAACTTAACCGAAAAAATGGCGTTAAGAGGTTGAAAATGCAAATCAGCCCTCGAACCACCATACGGATGTCATGGCCACCTTCCCTGTGATAAATAGGACCTATGAAAATAGATAGAATGTAATTAGCATTTGTAGGTTGGGAGTTAGAGCCAAAAACGCCTTAAACTTAACCGAAAAAGGGCGTTAAGGGGACGAAAATGCGAATCAGCCCCCGAACCATAACCGGATGTCATGGCCACCTTCCCTATGACAAATAGGACCTGTGACAATAGACAAAATGTAATTAGCACGTGTAAGTTGGGAGTTAGAGCCGAAAACGCCTTAAACTTAACCCAAAAAGGGCGTTAAGGGGGCAAAAATGCGAAACAAACCCCGAACCACCGTACGGATGTCAAGGCCACCTTCCCCGTCACAAATAGGACCTGTGACAATAGAAAAAATGTAATTAGCACACATAGTTTGGGAGTTAGAGTAAAAAACGCCTTAAACTTAACCGAAAAATAGCGTTAAGTGGGCGAAAATGTGAATCAATCCCCAACCCACCGTACGGATGTCACGAACACATTTCTTATGATGAATAGGATCTGTGACAATAGACGGAATGTAATTAGCATGTGTTGGTTGGGAGTTAGAGTCGAAAACGCCTTAAACTTAACCGAAAAAAGGACATTAAGAGGGTGAAAATGCAAAACAGCCCCCGAACCACCATACAGATGTCACGGCCACCTTCTCCATCACAAATAGGACTTGTGACAACATGCAGAATGTAATTAGCACACGTAGTTTGGGAGTTAGAGCTGAAAATGCATTAAACTTAACCGAAAATGGCATTAAGGGGGTAAAAATGTGAATTAGCCCTCAAACCATCAATGGATGTCACAGCCACCTTCCCCGTAACAAATAGGACATGTGACAATAGACACAATGTAATTAGTACATGTAGGTTGGGAGTTAGAGCTAAAAATGCCTTAAACTTAACCGAAAAAGGATAAGAGGGCAAAAATGCGAAACAGCTTACCGAAAATAGGCGTTAAGGGAGCGAAAAAAAGAAACAGCCTCAGAACCACCATAGGAATGTCACGGCCAGCTTCCCTATGACATATAGGACTTGTGACAACAGACAGAATGTCATTAGCACACGTAGTTTGAGAGTTAGAGCCGGAAACGACTTAAACTTATTCGAAAAAGGGAGAGTTTGACATCCAATAAATGTTCAACATTTTCATTGTAAATGATGCCATTGTTTCATCATACACGGTGGTCATTTGAGTGGTAAACGTATTAAGAAAGCATGATAGAGTTATGGAGATAACCCCATACATTACTCAATCATTTTACTTTGACTAGGAAAATAAGAATGAAGAAAAATTAAAATAAATTTACCACCAAAACATTCTACTTATAAAAATTTATTTTATGAATAGGTATGCTTCTAAAAATTGTATTATTTGTAAATTGAAATCAAGTTTGGAATAAATCTTTTATGATACATACATATGATTGTATTTCGAGAAAAGGTTTTATAGATTGTTCAACCTTAAATGCATGTTATTACAACTTTTTTCCTATGCCTGAATGAATTGATATTTTGTAATGGATGCAATTGTTTTTTTATTTTTTGTAAATGGCTTTTGGCGTGGACTTGTGGATAGTCTACATTTTTGTTTATGGAGGACACTTGACACTTTTGTATAATCCTGCAAACTATGTCTTCCTCTGCTTTTGTGAATATTAGCATCACTGATACATATAACTTTTGTAATCCAACTGATAGTTGCTGGCGTGGCATATAGATTACCTTTTGTCGTGGTACAGATTACGATGGTAAGTTGTACCATGCCAAATGGCCATATTGCATAGTAGTAAATATATTTTTTGTATATGGTGGGTTGGATTTTTGTATGGAAATATAATTTTAGTTTGGACAATAGTTGGTTTGTATGGAATACATACATTTAAATTCATTCATTTCTGGATGGTTGGAAGTAATATAGACTGTGGCATGATTGATAATTTTACGTTGTGAAATGATGGATAGTATATGTATTGTTTTATTTATATATGTATTACAGGTTGCATGGAATATAGACAGGTTATGAATAAATTATAATTTTGTGATGAAACATAAGAGCATGTTTTTGGCTAAATTGTTAGTAGCTAAAAAAAAAAAAAAAATTGGAAAATAGTTTTGGCTACTAAAAGTTTAGTAACCAAAAAAAAAATCAAACATTTGGTGACTAAAATATTTTGTAGCAAAAAACAATCAAACATATGGCAACAAAAATATGTCGTAGCTAAAAAGCATAAGCTCAAAAAAAAAAAAAAAAAAAAAATTGGCGACTAAAACTTTAGTAGCAAAAAAATGTGAGACTTTAGGTGACCAAATGTTTAGTAGCCAAAACACAAAATGTTTGCCGACTAAAATCTTAGTAGCCAAAAACATAAGACTTTAGGTGACTAAACCTTTAGTAAACAAAAAATAAAATTGACTTTAGGCGACTAAAATCTTAGTAGCCAAAACATTGTTATTTACTTTAGGCCACTAATATATTTAGTAGGTGAAACTCTTTTTCGTGACTAAATGATTAGTCGTTAAAAGTAATTGAACTTTTGGCGACAAAAAAATTTGTCGCCAAAAATATGATATTTAATTTTATTTCAAACCTTTTGGCGACTAAAATTTTAGTCACCAATGATCTTTCCCGACAATTCTTCCCCGACTAATTTTGCGACCAAATATTTTTGTCATTAAAAGCCTTCGGTGACTTACGATTTAGTCGTCAAAAGTGAAAATTCTTTTAGTGACATCACTCCATCATTTATTACCACATGAGTTATTTCTGATTCTCTCAAAATATTGCTTGAAAGTAATTAGTTGATTGTCATTTTTCACAATTACATTTGATTTACATTGTTGAGGTTAGGGGATCCTGATATTGATAATGGGCATGGTTTTGATTGTTGTTGATTGATGCCTTTGGTTGTTATTAATTTTTTAAGCTATTATTTAATATGGTCTAAAGACTTACGATTGTTACTTTTATATAATTTGTTGTAGTGTGGTGAACCAATTAAGTGATTAAATCATTTGGTTTGCTTATCTACTAGAGAAATGCATATCACTTTCAGTTGTAATCATCTTTACTCTGGCACTTTGTACTAGTTTATTTTGTAATTCTTAATTTACAGGTAGGAGACATAGTTGTTATAAAAAGTATCATTAGCCCAACATAAACAGTTGCAATCGGAGTACTTAAAAGCACAGATGCATCTAAAGAAGTAGAAGAGGAAGAACTAGGACCTGACTATTGGGAGATACATATTCAAGTGCCAGTCAAACCTAATGAGAACTTGATCCGATCATATGGACTTGTCAAAACAGTTGAACAAGCTATTGGAGCACATGTTGCTTTGCTTGCTCCATTTGTGGTATATTTATTTTGTAAATGCTAATTTCATTAACAATTTTATATTAACTTAATATAGTTTCAATTACCTTTATATGTTTATATTTTGGATGTAGATTTCGTAAGTTATGGATGCTAGCCGAGAATATTTATACAAGTGAGGTTGAGAATTTGGGAACTGATTTTGTTTTGATAATTTGTCTCTCCGGAAGATGGATATCACTATGGCTTTTTAGAACTTATGGTTGGAATAATTTTCTTTTAATTTTTTTTGTCTTTAACTTTGTTAGTATGGTAGAATATTTTATACTTTTGGTAAGGGTTTTTTATTGCAATATAAATAAATTTATATTTCAATAATAAATAATTGATTATGTGTCATGACCCGAACTCGCCCCTATAGGTTAGGATCATAACCGGCCAGTAATCGTTAGATTACCTACGACCTCAGACAGAAAATAAATTTTTAAATAATCACATAGGGCCAAAAGCGGAAGCAGACTTAAAAATTTTGTCCAATAAGCTGTGCTTACATGATAAAGCGAAACATTTCATAAACAGTCCATAATAACTCACACATAAAAACAGAGTTAATATCTTATACATCCAGGAACTTCAAGACATGCAGTCAGCCAAACAAAACAAACTTATATGCATGGATGATCTAACGTATTCAACGATAAAGCAAAAGTGTAAACACATGAACAAAAATAAAGTCTCGTTCGTGAGACATGCGGGCTGACTCCACAAAACTTCACTTCCTCTCATATCTTTCACTGAGGTTGGGTTTGGACATCCCTTTGCTCACCTACACACATATAAATGAGAGTGAGCAATAGCCCAGTGAATAATATTAAAATAAAGAAGTTACATGAATGAAATTCGTAACAGACATATCTAACGGACTTAGGCCCATTCACATTTTTATCTAATATATCAACGGCCTCAGGCCCAACCATAACAAACAACCTCAGGCCCAATTCGCTCTTATCAAACGGCCTCGGGCCCAATTTGTTTGTGTCAAACAGCTTTTGGTCCAATCATTCATGTCAGACGGCCTTTGGCCCAATCATTCATGTCAGACGTATTTATGTGTGTTTCATACTCATGACCATGATCGTATTTGTATTCACTTAGTCCTAAGCAAAAGACTGACATTTAGAATACTCATTCTTAATTCAAACATACAAATCCATAAGGCATGTATAGAAGTAACGTTTGGGAAACCAACATACTTGAATATATCTTTACTAAGATATTACTCACAGTGTTCTGCCGGTGGATTCGTTCTTATGCTCGACCCTACACAATTCATAACACATATCGGGTTACAAACAATTCAATTCGTTCTTTAATCTATTTATTTCTCTTATGCTTCTTTCTTTACCCTTTAGGTCATTTACAAAGCTCAATGTATTCCTAAGAGTGCTTAGAAATGAAAGAGAACGGAAAACAAAACACAAAACCATTTTTCATAATTTCAAGAACAGGGCTCTCCGCTCGAGCGTGAATTTAGCTGCTCGAGTGGACCACTTTGGTCTGCGAAAGTATTGGTTACTACATTTCGATGCTCGAGCGTGACTCTTTCTGCTCAAATGGACATCAATGTCTGCAAAAGTTCTAGAAGCCAACATTTCATGCTCGAGTGGCGCTTTCCCCTGCTCGAGCGGAAATGCCGAATTCTAGAATTTCCAGAATTGCATTTGAAGCTCAAACTTAGCATTCAAAGGGTCTAAAACTCATGTTCTTGATACAAAATTATGGAAATTTTTATACAATATGAGGCCATAAGAAAATTGAGTCTAATTTGTCCAAAATCACAATTCAATTTCCAAATTATTTCACATTTTTCTTGACAACCCATACCAACTTCATGTCTTTAAAACTTGTTAGGTTTTATTCTTGGCAACCCCGTTTGACAAAACTCCTTTCAGTTGTATTTATTTTCGCACTTTTATTTCAGTGAGGCTATGAGTGTTTAGATGCAAATCCAACCCGAATCAAGCCTTTCAGAGAAGTTTGTGATGCTAATGCTTTCAAGATTGCCACTTCGCTGATTATGACGGGGATCGAGCTGCCCGGTTAGCTCACGGGGGTCGAGGGGGCAGCGCCCCTTGGCGAGTCCGGGGCAGCGCCACGGCGAGGTCGAGGGGCAGCGCCCCCGAAGCAAAATGCAAAAATGCATTCCAAGTTGCCTGTCCGCTCGAGCGGACATTACCCCGCTCGAGCGGAGAATCCCTGGTTCCAGCAGTTTGTCAGGTCTGTAAAAATACTGGAAGGTGTGATTTCGCGCTCGAGCGGGTTCTCCAGCGCTCGAGCGGACCTCTGTTATATTTCGCGCATATTTTGCTGAAGCCGCTCGAGCGGGCTGTTGGGCGCTCGAGCGGAGATCGCAGGACAGATTCTATAAATTCGCATATTGGGTCAGATTTTAGGATAACGACTCCAGATCTTTTTTTTGGGTTCTAGGGTTTATATCTGGGGATACTTTGTGAGTTTTCTTTGATGTTTTGATTGAGTATTCAACTCATGTTCTAAAGAGTATACATCAAAGGTTTTGTTTGTTGTTCTTCAGTTGTGTATTCTGAAGAATTCCAGCCTGAAGCTTTGGTGGAATCCGGAGTGGCTCATCAGAAAGACAATTCCGTGGTGAAGATGGGGTTGGAAGAGGCACATAGAGGTTGGTTCAATTAGGCGTTGTGGATTCGCTAGGTAATTGAGAGTATACCTGTGTAATTCCTTTAAATCTTCTTAGTGGATTGTTTTGTGGCTGTTGCCCGTGGTTTTTTTATCACAATTAGAGGTGTCCAATTGTGGTTTTTTCCACGTAAAATCGTTGTGTCTCTTTGTCTTGATTGTTTGATTGGGATTGTTATATTCTGCTTGAAATTGATACATAATCACAAATCAACTTCTAAGGGGTTTCTAGATTTTTCAAAACTCATGAAAATTAATTTCCATATCACTTTGAATTTCATATGCATGTGAGATATAGGCTTCATTTTCAACTTAAATAACACCATTGATGCTCATCTTCATCAAACATGATCAATTTTAAATCAATTACATCAAAACTCCTTTAATTTACAAATTAAGTTCTTTGTTCATAAACTCATAATTTTCCAAAGCTTAATTCTTATTACATCAAAACATGCAATCAATTATTATAAATCCATGATGCACGTATAATTAGAGTATTAAAACTTGTAAAATTTGTCCATGCATGTAGGAATTAGACAAATACTCATGCCAGTTATTCCAAAATCAAACCCAAAATAATTAATTCCCAATTTAACTTCCATAAATTTGAACCTAACTCTATTTCCTTATCATCTTGCTAATTTCTTTTTAATTGCATCGAATTGAATCTACTTACTTCTTAGTTTCAACTTCTAGATAATTTAGCTACAAAATTTGAGCTTTGATTCCTCATCTAGAGCTCTTGATTGATGAGTTTCTTATGCATGAAATTTCCAAAATTAAATTAAAATGATGAAACTTAACATAATTTTCCATAATTATGTAGGTAACTCATTTCTTGCTCAAACCCAAATTTCTGTCTAATTTCATGAACATGATTCCAATCCCTTCTCAATCTCAAGCATAAAAAGAAGATCCTACATAAATCAAGCTTGAATTTCATACCTCAAATTTTAATTTCAGCAATTAGATTTGATTTCCCCTTGAAATCTTCTTCTTCTCTAGCTTCCTTATGCTGTGTTTGGTTGGAGGATTTGACGAGGGATTTGGAAAGGGAAAGGGAAAAGTTAGGTGAAATGTGAATAAAATGTACCTACATTTCACCTAGTTTCACACACCTTTTCCCTTTCCCTTTCCAAATCCCTCCCCAAATCCCCCAACCAAACACAGCATTAATGTTCTTCAAAATTCCCAGCAAGGATCCAAGGAATTGAACTCTCTCTCACTCACGGTTCTCTCTCTCTCACAGTTCTGTCAAAACAATATGAAGCACAAGAATGCTCTCACCAAATAATAAATAGATTTGCGTATTCTCTCTCCTCATGCACACATATAAAACTTGAAGGTTATCAACACTTATACACACATGTTCACTTCTTAACATTTTACAAGCACACGTGCACACACTTTAAGCTTCCAGCACAACAATAATACAGACACTCTCAGACTTCTCTACACACACACACACACTTCTTAGCACACACACCTAAATAAATTCTCAAAATCTAAATCATTCTACAATTTAATTTATGATTAAGATTAATTTAATTAAATAACACTTATTCTTAATAAATCTTGATTAACACATAATTAAATTAATTATTACTAATCATAAGTTCCACATGATGTAATTTATCTAATTTGACTTCCTTTAGAGCCCACTTAATTATATTTAAAATTATCAATCTGAATCAGATTTTTTTAATCAAACTCCCAAAAGCTCCAAATATTAAATTAAACTTATTGTCATCATCAATTTTGATTTCCCAAACCATTTAGGCCTTCAATTTCTAATCAGACTTCAAATTTCCGTCAATAAATTACATATTCAAATTGGACACCCCATAAACAAATTTAATTCGTAGTAATCACAATTCTCAATCCTCATAATTAACTAACTTAATTAACTCCAATTCGGACCTAATTAATCGAATCTCAATTTTACTAAACTGAAACGAATATTTAATTAACTCTCAAATGGGTCCGAAATTAAAATTAAATTGATTCAATTTCTTAATTTCGCTTCCTTAAGCCATTTGGACCCTTAAAATAAATCTTCAATAGAATCATATATGAATCAGATTCCATAATTCTCACAAATCCCAAATTAAATTAGGATAACGACTAATTAAAATCCTAAATCTCCTTAATTAACCAAATATAAAATATTATACGTGGCGGGGTCATCACATTGTGGTTTGAATTTTTTTGTTTTTTGTTTTTGATGTGATGATCCTATGGTGGTAATATTTGTTTATTATTATGAAAATATTACAGGATGAATGGATGTCCAATTAATATAGGATGTGACAATTAATATTCAATTGTTTATAAAATTGATTCAATTTTTACAGGTATTTACACATGTTTAATTGTAGCTTTTAAAAGTGTCACTAAAAAGAACATATAAGTGGCATTTTGTAGTATTGATAGTAGCTTTGCAAAGTGTCACTAAAGTAAGTTCCAATGGCACTTATATCCATTTAATGTCACAAATGAATTGGATTTAGTGACATTTATGAAGTTGTTATAAATATCAACTGTCACATAACAAGCATCGTTTAAATTCCATATAGTGGCATTTTTTAGATTACAAGTCTTCTTCAATGGCACTTGATAGCGTCATGAATAGTGTCTATCATGACATTAAAGTGTCACTGAAAGTTTTTAACTCTGATGGTGTAATGGCACTTACAAGTGTCACTGAAATGCCACAAACTCTTTTTTTAATTGTGCTTGATAGTGTCACAAATAGTATCTATCATGACATCAAAATGTCATTGAAAGTTTTTAGCCATGATGGTGTAGTGGCACTTGCAAGTATCACTAAGATGCTACTAGTGTCTACCATGGCACAGGTATAAATGACACTTGTTTAAAATGCCACAAGACTAAAAAATGTCATTAGAAGAATAGTTTTGTGGCACTTTCAAATCTCACTAAACTAAGAAAATGTTGTAGTGTTTTAACGTGTCACGACCCAAGCCTGCCTCTATAGGTTTAATGTCGTAACCGACCAGTAATTTGAGATTACCAAAGTCCTTCTTGTACAATCAAAAATTACTGGGGCTGGCGGAAGCAAAATACAAAAAATACCAGTAGTCCAATGAGCTATGCATCTATATGAACAAATATGTACACATATAAACATTAACTTACCTACATAACGATACATAACTTATAATATAATATTTTATACAAAACATATGCACATACTGAGTATGTACATCATGACCAAAAGCTTGACAATGGTCTTCCAGGCCTAACGCCAACTCGGAGGCACTCAAAATAACTCGGTAGGCTTCAAAACAGTGGCTTGGCTTAAGACCGCTTCTAAACTTATCCTCCAGGACGCTCACCTATACATATACATAAAAAAATAGTGAGTTAAAGCCCAGTGAATAACATTAAAGTAAAGGGGTTAGTAATAATGTCTGCTTAAACATTAAAAGCAATTCACATGTGCGTTAAGGAAAAGCATAGTAGTCATAAGGATCCACGTGTATATATAGCGATCTTTCAAACCATAATCTATTCGGGCAATCATATAACTCAATGTCTTATACACATTTGGCCCTAGTATTATTACCCCCAAGTGAAGGCCATATGCATATAGGCCTCGGTATTGTTACCCCCGGGTAAGGGCCATGTAAATATAAACCACGGTATTATTACCCCCGAGTAAGGGCCACATGAATGTAGACCGCGATATTGTTACCCCCGAGTATGGGTTACATGAACATAACCATGGTATTGTTACCCCCAGGTATGGGCCATATGAGTATATTGCATGACATGGGATACTCATTTATTGAGTAAATCATGTCACTGTAGAAACAATTCTTAACAATAACAATCACATTCAGATACGCATTCATTTAGTAAATCATATCATTGTAGAAACAATTCTTAATAATAACAATAACAGTCAGAAAGAATAACTCAAACATATCTTTACAACATTATTACTCATAGTTCGTTCCGTGGGGCACGTGGCCAGGGTGCGGCGTCTGACCTATATAAACACAGACAAGCACAATGGTTTAATATATAGTCTCATTGGTTCAATTACTCATTACTAATCTTTCTGTTTCGTTCCTTAATTTCCTTCATGTTATAAGATGCGAATGCACATGGAAACCACATGAAAACCATGCAAACAGAGGCCTAATAGTCCGAGAGATAGCCAGAAAAACTGGTTGGATCTGCCCTGTTGGCCGCACGTGCGATGGTCTGGCCACTTGTGCAGTAGCCTTGGCCGCATGAGCGGTGGCCCAGGCTGCTTGAGCAGTCTGGGTTTATTTGTAGCCCAAAAATCTGCTCTTGAATGAAATCTCATTCTTTCCAATATCATACTCCATTTCCATGTATTTCAAGGCCAAAAACTCATAAAAACATGTTGAATGCAACATATCTAGTTTAAACAAAATCATAACTTCAAATGGAGCTTAAATTTTATACAAAACATTCAAACCCTTGAGTTGAAATACAAAACCATCGTTTATGCAAATTGAGCTCCCATCCTTGAAATTCATGGGGTTTATTCTTCAAATCTCAAGAATCATGCAAGAAAACAAATTTATGAACATGATTTCCATGAATCTATGCCATACATAAGGATACAACATGTTCTTAACAATATATGGAAAAATATATGCAAAACTCACACATAAATCATATATTCAACTCTATAACACTTAATCTTCAAGAATTAGGAGTTAGATTCTTACCTAGGGCCTTTATAGGTACTTAATCTTGCATAATCTTGCATAATACAAGCTTGATCTTTAGCTTCTCCTTCAAGTTCCACACCTTCCTCTTGGTTTCCCTCTTTATCTAGGCCTCTCTCTCTTTCTCCAGATTTTACTTCTTCTTTTGTTGTCTTTGAGCAATGTATATATATATATACTATCTAATATTTAATTAACTCCAATTTAATTCATTCTGAATCAGATTTTTACAAAACTTCATATTAGGTCTTAAAAATCACACTGATCACAAATATGTATTTCGTTCTGGTTTCTGAAGCCTCTGAAGCCTTCAATTTCAGTGTAAAGTCGCAATGAAACCATCCAAATGCACCTTAACGAATCAGCCGAAATCAATTTTCAATTAAACTTCCCAAATGGCTCTAAAAATTTCCACTAGCATATCTATGTACTCAATTTTGGTTTCTGGACTCATGAAGGTCATCAATTTCAGTTCCAAAGTCGTAGCCCCAATAGATATTTCTCCAATTTCGACAGATATTCCCAAATTATTTCATATTAATGCATAATTAAGAAAAATAATTGTAACACACATTTCGGGGCCGTTACATAATTCATTTTTCATCGAATTTGAATTTGATGAAACATTTGATGAAGGATTGGAGATGACATAACTAAAAAAGAAAATGACATAATTTTATACTTTCTGAGTCATAACTAAAAAAAAAAAAAAAAAAAAGTCATAACCAGACACTATATGAGGCATAACCAAAGATCTCATGAGTCATATATAGTGATTTTGATTTTGACTCGACTCTTGTGTATCCCAGACTCGGGTTTAACGGTTTCATATTGTTGTTTACATTCTGTTTCCCTTGTATCTCCTTAAATTTGGCTTTGGGATTATTGTGGTTGCGTTTGGGATAGGTTGGTTGCTTAGTTTCCAAACCTTTGTTGTCCAGATTTTTGCCTCTCCGCTCGAGCGGCCTTTGGAAACTCTCAATACTTTTGCAGGTATGCAAAATACTAGGAGAGTGTATTCTACGCTCGAGCGGTTCTTTCTGCGTTCGAGTGAGCTCATCTCAAACGGTCATTCTTGCGTTCGAGCATTGGTCTACTGTCTGCAAAACTACTGGATGTGTGTATTCTACGCTCGACCGTCATTTCTTACGCTCGACCGGAACAATTTTTTGTGTCTGACGCTTGAGCGTCAACTCTGATGCTCGAGCGCCAACTCTTGCGCTCGAGTAGACTGTGTGCATATCAGTTCGCAGCAGCACCCCTTTTCATCACCTTTTCATAACT